GAACATTGATACCTAACATTGATAACATCATCCACTCTTCCAGTGAGCCAGTGGTAGCCATCCTTGTCCCTGAAATAAAGACATGAGATGGTCCAACTCAGTGCCATGAACTAAAAACCCAGACTAGTCCATTAAGCCCTGAATTATTCACATATAGAATTGCAGAGTCATAAAATACATTTATCACTTTTAGGACTTACACATACCTCCTGCAGCCATCACCAGAAAAATAATATCCAGGGAATGGCTTGAAGTATGTGGTCTCATATCTCTCATGGTCACCATAGAGAGTTCGGAATGCTCCAGGCCATGAGCTTTTCAAACATAGATACCCACTGCACTCACCCCCAATCTCAACCCCTTTTTCATCCACTATGACTGGCTGCAATAACACAAAAAGAAAATAATAATAATAATAATAATAAATAACTGCTCTGTAACAGCACAACATTGCAACTAATAGTTAGCACTGAACCTGGACTCCAAAGAAAGGAAAGGTAGCTGAACCAGGCTTTTGTGGCCAGGCACCAGGTAGTGGAGTGATCTGCAAATTCGCATGGAAGTGTTTAGTGTAGACAATGTAAACAGGAAAAATTTGTCAGACTTTTCCATTTAAACAGAATTAAATTGAGAACATTGCCTTGCTTATACCGAAAAATTATAGACAACAAAGAAGAAGAAAAAATTACCATGAAGCCACCAGTTTCTGTCTGCCACCATGTATCAGATATAGGACATCTAGAGTCTCCAACTACATTATAAAACCACCTGTAAGCAAGATGGAAAGTTAGAATATCATTCTTTCAATCAAAAATTTAGACTTCTCTATTATACAAAATATGGTTCTCGCAACCTCCATGCACTTGGATTAATGGGTTCACCAACACTTCCAAGGACCCGTAGGGACTTGCGAGAGTAGCGAGTAACATACTGCGTGATGGTGATGAAGATCAGTATGGCAATCAGTAAAATGACCTCATAAAAGCAAGCCCCATCTCTGATCATTAAAAAACAACAGTATACACTCAAGAAACAACCTGAGAAAGAAACCCCCCCTTCTCATACAAAGCATGACAACAAAACAAGATAATATTCTTCACAGGTGAGATAATGCACTTGATATATCATGCATTCAAAATAGAACAAAAATAATAAAATGCTTTTACAGTCAATGTGGTTCCTTTAATTAGTGATGCTCCCCAAATTTAGGAAGAAAAGTTTGCAGAAGGTAGCTGGAACAAGAAAAAGATTTATGAAGCAAATTTGGCCATTGAGTTTATGCAGTTTTCTTGCCTCATCACCCTCACGCATGAGAGACCGCACCAATGTGGGGGCAGTGTAGAATAGGGTCACCTTGTATTTGTCAACAATGTCCCAACATCGCCCAGGATCAGGATAATTCGGAGCCTGACGAAAAGACATGGATATGCTGCCATTAGTAGAATTTAGAAACACCTGAGGACTTAATTAAATCAAACCATGTGGTTATTTCCTTCTTCCTGCTCAATCACTACTTTTTTTCAGGCATCATAATCAATACTTGACAATCAAAGCTTTTGTGCCAACATTTGCAATACTAAAATCTATATGATGGATATGATGGATAGCACCTTGGTCTGTTGCTACCTTAATAAACTGTTGGCATCACCTTATCAAGAAAACTTGCTAACATCTTTGATACAGTAATCTTTATTCCAATAGCAGAATATTGCATATTCTGCATTGTTCTCCTTAAAAAAAATTACCTTACATCAAAAAGGGTGCGTTTGATGCCAAACTTTATAGAAGTAGGTTCTTGAGATGTCTTCAAAGGAAAACTTGGATAACAAAAGAAAGAAGAAGAAGCTCTTATTTGTTCTTAAGTGAAATTAATTTTACTCTCTTGAAACAGCAATGCATAAAAGTTCAGTTTTATGTCTATTTGTGTTTATTCAGAAGCTTTGCACATTTCTCCTGTCTAGTGATTTCCCATATGGTTAAGTGCTTTTTCTATGCCATTAGTGATATCTAAATCTTCCAGTTACATTTAGAGCCTGTTTGGTGGAGCTTCTTGGAGCTTTTATTTTTTTTATATTATTTATGAGTGATAAGTTTAAATTTTTATTGGAGGGAAAATTTAAAAGTTGCTTTTAGAAATAGAAAAAAGTGAGTAAGAAGTTAGTAAAAAGGAAGTTTATAAAAGGCAAAAGTTTGAAGGTTTTCAAAATTTACTGTTTAAGGTCTTTTTAAAGTTAAAAAGAAGTTAAAAAATGTAAGTTTTTAACAGGGAAATTTAAACTTATGAAACATGAATAGTGTCAAAAAGCTGAAGCACTTATAAGGTTCACCAAACATGCTCTTAGTAGATTATGTGAAAACGGCAATAACATTAAATTGTTCTTGAAGTTTAACCTCTTTTTTTAATCTCAAATCTGAATTCTCAAAGTGGTTACAGGTTGACAATCCCTTACCCCTTCGAAAACAACAACAGTTGCTCCATTGAGCAAGGGCCCATATGTTACATAACTATGCCCAGTAATCCAACCACAATCTGCTGTACACCTAAAATCAGAACAAGAAAAAAAAAATGTATTCCATAACATTCAGTGGAATATGAACCAGCACAATGATAAAGTAAGTTCAAAAAGAATAAGTACTCAGAGTTTCAAAGGTACCAATATATATCAGATGGTTTGTAATCAAAGGCATGCTTAAATGTTGTAGCTGCATATACCATATATCCTCCAGTTGTATGGAGAACACCCTTTCAAAAGTATATATTAGGCTACCAAAAAAGAAAAAGAATGAAAATTTGTATCAAAAATATAGAGGATTTTGATAGGTACCTTTGGCTTTCCAGTACTCCCACTAGTATAAAGTAGAAAAAGGGGATCTTCTGCATCAACCCACTCAACTTCACAAGTGTACGGATATTTTGGGACAACATCCTAGAGCAAAACCAAGAGAAATCAGCATGACCAACAACCTTAGAAGAAAATTGAAGGGGATGGGGGTGGAAAGCTAAAGACTTGGCATTATCCTTTCCATAGTGTGCATGCTAACTCTTTATCTCATTGTATATTTAGGGTAAGCTTTGATTTTTTAATGTTGAGAGATATTGACTTAATTGCTTACCTGAGGCTGTACTGAACCCTGATGTACATCCTTTTCGATTAACCTTAAACGACGTTGTTTGATTTAATTAAAATTCAATTCAAAATTCAAAACTCTATCTTATTAAATGTTGATACTTGGATTTGAAAACTAATTATATATTCTGATATAATCGGTTCCCAAATCTATGTATTTATATTTAGTAAGGTGGATTTATGAATTTTGAATTAGGTTTTCAGTTTTCAAATATAGGAATCAACATTTAATAAGGTGGATTTCTAAATTTTAAATTGGACTTTAATTAAATGTATGTGAGAAAAAGAAATAGAACTTGCAATTGAATGACCAGTCATAATCAACCGAGACTAATTCTTAAGCCAAGTAGTTGCTTTTCCAGCATATAGAGAAGGAAGCCAGTGGGTCGTATAGACAAAGCTTTTTATAAGAAAGGTTGACTCTTTAAGATTGGGACTCTAAATTTTTTTGAGTCAAGACTACTATGCAATATATATATATATATATATATATATGAGTTAGGATCCGCTTATGCACAAGTCTTACACACCACACTTACATAACATCTTAACCATTTATTTCTCCACTTTCAATGGTTGAGATTTATTAACTTTTTATTATTAAAGATTATTATCTTTTTATCCATGATAAATCTCAACCATTAGAAGTGAAGATGGTCAAAATTTTGTATAAGTGGTGTGTAAAACTTGTGTGTAAATAGATCCCTACTCTATATATTTATATTCAGGTACTTCAAGCATTAGATACGAAGACAGATCTACACCATGTTATGCTCAATTAGTGAAAGAGGCATTGTGTACGTACCGACCACCATACATCTCTTCCTTCCTGCCAATTAGTACTTTCCCTCTTCATGGCTGATTGGTTTTCATAGGTTAAGCATACATCTGCTCAGACGATGAGGAAAAAAAAAAAGATACCTTCATTGATTAGATAAGAGATTAATTTAAATCAATCGTGCTGAATGATGTGATCACTTGCCACGGTGAAACTGTGCTTTAAAGCAGAAAGCAAGGTGCATTTGGAATAAAAGTTGCAAGGAAACTTAAATCCGAGGTGACTATTAACCTGGTTAATTCCTAACAAAGCACAATGTGCACAGCCAGTGCTTTAACCTGGGCTTATGTTCAGTTAATTGGTATGCACCTTGGATCAGGTGATAAAAACTAAAAAAGCACTGATAACAAGGAAAGACTAGCATCCACAATTTCCTAGCTAAAGAAAATCAACGCATAATGAACTTAAATTTAGATATACATATCATTCTCAAATGTGGGAGGAAAAAAAAGATACTGTGCTCAAATCAGAATATCTACTATGACTTAGATTTTACCAACCTACTGAGATCCCAGTCTTGGCAGATTGAATGAGGGCAGCATCAACAATTTCTTTAAGGTGGATGATCTTGGGACCCCTTTTAACAGCATTGCAAGTAATGACAGCTTTTGGTTTGCAATCCACAATTCGCTGAGCAAGAGATTCGGCAGAAAATCCGGCAAACACAACCTAGGGGAGGACTATTTATTGAGAAACAATGGAGAGCAGAGGAGTTAAAATTAAGTAGCGAGATGTGTTTAGTTTGGGTGGGTGAGTACCGAGTGAACAGCACCAATTCGGGCACAAGCAAGCATAGCAATGGGAAGTTCCATTAGCATAGGCAAATAAATGACAACAGCATCACCCCTTTTAACACCAATATCTTTCAAGTAATTTGCGAGCTGCAGACAAGCAAGATGCATAAAAAAAAAAAATGAGGAGGATTGAAGCATAAAGGCAGGCGTGAAATGAATGAAGCCATAAATTAAAAAACCTGGCAAACTCTGTGGAGCAGCTGGGAGTAAGTCAAAGTGTCATCAAAGCCAGGCCCATTTCCTTCCCAGTAAAGGGCGACTTTGTGACCGAGGCCAGCTTCTATGTTTCTATCAACACAATTGTAGCAAATGTTGGTGATACCACCTTTGAACCACTGTCCAGTGCAGTAGTAGTAAAGTAAACATAAGCCACAACAGCTTATTGGCATTATTATATTTTCAGGGGCTTATTGTAATTTTAATAATGAAGTATAATTAAGAAAGGCAGAATAAATGCAAACCTCAATCTTGATAGGGCCTTTCCGAATATCCAGATTCTCGGAAAAGACCTGTTCCGGCCATTTCTGCTTCCAGTAGAACTGAGACGCAATATCGGACCAGAATCCGGCAGGATCCTGAATGGATCTCATGTACATCTCCAAGTACTGATTTTCCCCAACACCAAACACCAACAGGAAATTAGAATCAGGAAATGAGATTTCTCCAACAAAAATTATTCTGTATTTAGGAATAAAAAAGGCTCAGCTCAACCTTTTGATGAGAAGGAACGAGGGCCTGGCTGGAGAACTGTTGGCTGGGTAAAACGAGATCGGCTTGCTCAGATGCAGAAGCTTCCCCCAAGACGACAGCATTCAAGTGAGAAATCTTTCCGGCCCCGGAAGGCAAATTGGTAATGAAATCCACATGCCTCAAGTGATTGGAGGAGGTGATGAGATTGTTGCCGCCGATGGATGCCATGACGGCGGCGGCTGTGACAGCCGATCGAGGAGAGGAGGAAGAGGGGAAAATGAGGAACTGATTGGGCCGTGAACGATCCGCAGAAGCTGCTGCTGCTGCTGCTGCTGCTCTATTATCATCGTATTTGTTATTATTGTGGCAGAGGAAGCCAACAACCACGTTCTGCCTAACCTTCTTGAGAAGAGCATGTCCACTTGTAGCACCAACAAGTCGAGCTTTCATCACTCCAAGCATAGTGACAGTAGGAACCACATTCAAGCGCTGGTTTTGCCCAGCCATCTTTTTAAAATACCTAAACGGAAATAAGATATGAACAGGATTAACGTTTAAGTTTTAACAGAAAAAAAAAAAAATGTAATCCTAGCTGAAAACTGATAAAGTGAAACCCACTAATTTTCAATCTTAAAAGCCTTAATTGCAGACCAAGTCACATGGAATTAACTGGTAAATTTAGGCAAAATCATGTCATGTAATATGCACCTTTTTCACAAGTAGCAATACTTTTTCCGTTAAATGTAAATTCAAGGAGCATAAAGAAGTAAAATACAAT